GGGGAGAGCGGGCGCCCGCCGGGCGCGGCTGCCTGTGACCATCGTTATCAGGGTGTTGGAAGTCGATGGAAGGACTCCGGCTCCCCCAGGCGGCCCCTGGCCTGGGAGCTTTGCTGGGCCAGTCGCTCTGGTTTCACCTATGCCTGAGCATCCAAGAGCTGGTTAGGCCAAAAGTGCCTCAGAAACACAGAGACCTGGAGGGCACGGTGGGGAGATGTTCGACCTCGCAGAGCCGGAGCCACCCAGCTGCAAACGGGACCAGCCGGGAGGTGACTCTAATCTGGAGGCGGGTGTGATGGGCATCATGCACAGCAAACCGAAATCCGGGCGAGAGGAGCCCTGTGGGGCCCCATTGGTTTGGAACAGCAGGTGCGGAGCGACGCCTTGTGTCCTGTCGTTCCGGGTGCCGGTGACCATCGAGGAGGTGGCCGTGTATTTCACCCAGGGGCAGCGGGTGAGTCATTATGCAAAAAGGGTCTCCCAGGGAGAGAAACAAAGGAAGGGGGATGCCGCCCCTGGCTGGGGGGCAGGGCTGGAAGAGAGTTAGTTAGTTTCTGTCTGGGAGCATGGAGGAGGCAACCTAGGCAACAGGCTAGAATTTAGGGGCCCAGTCTCCCCCATCTCAAGGGGGGCTGAGGCATCCTAGCCCCAGTTCCTGGAACCAGATGACACCTGTGCTGTCTGTATCCTGGAGGAGCAATAAACTTCCTCTATTCTACTGGCTGGCGGAGTCTGTTTGTGCCACTACGGGGGTGCAGGAGACGGGAAAAACCAGACGCGCTATCACAGCTTCACGCTGCAGAGTCACTTTTGACACACGTTTTGCTAGCCTGTATGGGTATGTCTACACTAGCTCGTTAGTTCGAGCTGGGTAGGCAAATGAGGGCAACTGGAGTTGCAAATGAAGCCCAGGATTTAAATATCCCGGGCTTCATTTGCATGTTCCCGGGTGCCGCCATTTTTTAATCCCCCTTAGTCTGAACTAAGTCTTATCCAAATTAGGATCTTTAATTTGAGCTACCTACTCCGTGCCTCGTGAAGCCGCGGGCACAGAGTTCGGACTAAGGGGGATTTAAAAATGGCGACACCCGGGAACATGCAAATGAAGCCCGGGATATTTAAATCCTGGGCTTCATTTGCAACTCCAGTTGCCCTCATTTGCCTACCCAGCTCGAACTAACGAGCTAGTGTAGACATACCCAGAATGCCTACATTAGCCACCCTAGTTCAAGTTGTCTGGGGGGGAGCAGGGGAGCCGGCCCAGGGGTAGTCTGGGTTTAAATCCCGGGCTTCATTTGCAACTCCAGTTGCCCTCATTTGCCTACCTAGCTCAAACTAACGTGCTACTAGTCTGGGTTTTTAAAGTTTTTCCTGTTGCAGACGAACTCGGCTCCCCCTCGGAAGTTTTCTTTTACTGTCTCCCACTCTTTCACCTCCACTTCCTCCCTGGCCCAACATGTTTATAGAGGGGAACCCGTGGGGTTTGGGAGGAGTGGGGCTTTTCTGAGGGAGGCATTTCCCCTGAATGTCTAAACTCTACATCTAAATACTTGAAAAATGACAATTAGTCCTGCAGCACCTTAGGGTATGTCTACACTGCCACCCTAGTTCAACTAGGGTGGCTAATGTAGGCATTCGAAATTGCAAATGAAGCCCGGGATTTAAACCCAGACTACCCCTGGGCCGGCTCCCCTGCTCCCCCCCAGACAACTTGAACTAGGGTGGCTAATGTAGGCATTCACACTTGCAAATGAAGCCCGGGATTTAAATATCCCAGGCTTCATTTGCATGTTCCCGGGCACCGCCATTTTTAAATGCCCGGTAGTTTGAACTACCTGCCCGCGGCTACACGCAGCACAGATTAGAAAATTCGAAGTACTGTTAAACCTTCTTGTTAAACCTACCTAGTCCGTGCCACGTATAGCCATGGGCAGGGACCCCCCCTGGGCCAGCTCCCCTGCTCCCCCCCAGGCACCCCCTGGGCCAGCTCCCCTGCTCTCCCCAGAGAGCCCCCGGGCCACCTCCCCTGCCCTCCCCAGACACCCCCCGGGCCAGCTCCCCTGATCCCCCCCAGACACCTCCTGGGCCGGCTCCTGTGACGGACCGGGCCGAGTCTGGGCACAGCTGAGGGCGTCCACTCAGGGCGAATTGCTCAACTTTGGGGCTCCTTACAGCACCCAGACTGGTGACCTCTCCAAACAGGCCACACACCAGTCTCACAGAGCGCTTCAGCTGCCTGAAGCCTCACGAGCAAAACCCCTCCGACACCCCAGCAATATCCGTGCCCCAGATGGCCCCGGGCCTAATACACAGGTGAGGGCTCTTAGCACCCAATCCCATGGCCCCGAACAAGTTCTGTCCGGTTTCAAGAAACCAGCCACAGATCTCTGGTCAATTTACCCTCTGGACCTTACCCACAAATCACGCTGGGCCAATCCTTTAGCATCTAACAATTAAAGGCTTATTACTACAAGAAAGAAAAGCCTGAGAGTGAGGTTGTTAAAGGATAGTACATTACATGCACCGAATCTCCCAGTTCTCGGTGCAGGCTCTAGCAGAGACGTTATCGCTGCTGGCTTAAAAGTCCTAGTTGCACATCCTAGGATCAGGATGGGTTCACAGGTCTTCCCAGCTCTTCGATCCCTGCAGTGCTGCCTCTGGGATGAAGTGCTGAGCTGAGAACCAAGATGGAGTCGACCACATGGCCTCTTTATACCTCCTTCCTGGCCTCTTCTTGGCTGCAGCAGGTCCCCTGGCCAGCGGCCAATCTCTGTGTCCCCTGCTGGCAGCTCTCAGGTGACAGCCCTCATTCTTTAGGTGTGTCCTTGGCCCATCGAGTGCCATTGTCCCACAGGGCCTCACTAATTAGCATGTCCATAGGCCGGGCTCTGCCCACTGCTCAACCACATTCAGAGAAATATTCAGTGTCCACACAAAGTACATGCTTATAATTTCACACACAGACATTATACAATCACAGGAACAGCGTACATAGGATTAGCAGACAGAAAGCTTCTATTCAGCACCCCACATGGCCCCCTTTTATACCATTTCTGGGGCCAACACCCCTACCTATGGGTGCAGCAGTGATCTGGCTGCTTCCCTGCAATTCGGTAACGTGACAGCTTCCTTGCTCCCCCCAGACACCCTCTGGGCCAGCTCCCCTGTTCCCCCCCGACATCCCCTGGGCCAGCTCCCCTGCTCTCCCCAGACACGGCACCGAGCTGAGATCTCCGTCTGCCGAAGAGCAGCATGGACACTGAATCCCTGCCCGGCTGCAGTTTGGGGCCCAGCTTGCAGGGAAATCCGCTCCCCATGAATAATTCGGACAAGCCCCCATGACCAATGACGGCTCCCCCAGGTAACGGTTCCTTACACTGGGCTGGGCAGTAGGTAGGAGTCATTCATTGCAAACCGTAGCAATGGCGGGGTCGCATGTGCAAATGGATCGAAGGGAATTGCACACTTCAAACCCACCAACAACACCAAGCTCGCTCTGACACATTAAAGCGGAGCCCAAATTTCCCTTAACACTGTTCTTACTTCCACTACGCCGCCAAGCCAGGGTGTGTACGCCCCGGCTGTAACGCACGTCCCCCGGCAAAGCTAAAGCCAAGCGTTTCAGACAGCTGGTGGGGGCGGCATTTATTAAATTAACCCGTGTCCCAGGTACAGCCTTCTCCTACGCCGTCCTATGGCAAAGTGAGGCCATCACAGCGCCCCATTTTTGGGACTCTTATAAAAGAGTTTTGGGGAGGAGAAGGGATATTTGGATTTTTTTTTAAATAAAAGCTAACTCCCGTGAGTGGTCGCCGCAGTGCGTCTGCTGCAGAAATCTCCCCCGCACCCCAACGAGGACTGAGAGAAACCGACCGCGAGACTCTGCCCTTCCTCTGGCCTCCGCCCGCCTGGGTGTGCGACCAGTCCCGGGCACAGTTGTCCATTCCCCCTGCTGCAGGCTCACAAAGCGTTCCCTGGCCGGCCGGCCCGTCCCCTCCCTTTCTCTTTCACTCATCCTGGGACTCATCCCAGCTCTCCTCCAGGCTTTGCTGTGCCCGGCAGCCGTCCCTGACCGGCCGCCTGCTTTCCCCAGGCACCTCTCTGCTTCAGGGACACGTATTTCGCTTTGCCAGCCAGTCCTGGATCGGTTCTGTCCCGCCTCTGTAAGTGCCTGGGGGTCCGGCCGCGCCTGGGGGCCCCGAACCGCCCGCAAGGCCTCAGGATAGCCCGGGGGAAACACCAGAGTGTTTCACTCTCCCCGTCTGCCTCGCAGCCCCTCACAGAAAGAAAAATACAACCCTGGGACCCAGAGGAAGGGCCTCACCTCAGGCACAGGGGAGAGGCTGCCACCCCTATGACTGGGCTCCTGCCCCCCAATTCTTGCCCCCACCCCCATCAGCTTCTTCTTCTGTGCAAGCGCCACCCTCTGCCTCCATTTCTAGCTAAAAGCAGGAAACTCAGGGAGCCCGGCTCCCATCTGCGGCAGGAAGGGGATTTGCTCTCCCGGCTGCAGCAAGTGGGGCCCAAAAGGTGGGTCCCACGGGCGGTGGGTAAGGCAGGTGAGGGAAACAGACTCCACTGCCCGGCCACCCTGGAGGTTGGGGCCGCGCGGCTCCACGGTGGCCAGGGAAGGGTGGGGCCGTGCGGGAGAAGGGCGGGTTGCACCACGAAGCAGCCCCAAAACTCACTACACCCGCTCAGTCACACGCCGGAAGATCGACCCCCACAGCCTCGATTTCCCCAGGAGTGCAGACCAAGGCGGAGCCGCCAGCCAGTTTGGGCAGGGCTGGGCCAGCGCTAGCAGGGACCATTTGGCGTGTACCCAGCCTCCATGGAGCAGAGAGGTATCTCCTCCTCCGTCCCCTCTGCCTCAGCCCGGCCGGGCGAATCACTCGACTCTCCCTGCTGAGCTCCTCTCTCCTCGCTGCCTCCACTGACTGGGCCAGGATTCCCTTTGGCCCGGGCCAGGACCGGACAGATGGTCAGCGGCTCCACGTTGGTGCCCCCAGGACAGAGACCAAGATAGAAATACGGGCGCAGCGTCCCGGAGAAGGTGTCGGTGAAGGTGAAGAGATGGGACCCGTCAGTCACATTGTAAAACGAGACCTCGCCTGCCTCGTAGTCCAGGAAAACCCCCACCCGGCTGGGCCTGGCGCTCACGGGGAGGAGGGTGGAGGGGGAGGTGCTGGCCTCGTATTCCCCATCCCTCAGCAACATGACCCAGTATCCATTCCTAGGTGAATTTTCACTCTCCCCCTTCCTGCTCACAGATTCCCTGCAGACCCCCAGTTCCCACTCAGGCTTGTCTCCCACCTCCACCTCCCAGTAATGCCTCCCGCCCGCGAACCCCTCGGCACCCAGAACTTCAGGGTAAGTAACAAATCTCTCGGGGGTGTTGGGCAGAGCCTGGCGCCTGTTTCTGTGTCTCACACTTTTCCGATCCTCAGACAGGACGAGGTAGCGATTTGCCGTGTCTGGATCCAGAGTCACGTCCACTGGGGAGAGAGTCACAGAGTCATTACGGGGGCAGGGGCTGGTCCCTGGGCTCAGAGGGAGATTAACCTGCCTCCCCGTTAATTTCTGGGGGGGGGGTGTCTGAGGAGAGTCAGGGCCCCTCTGCCTGTGAGGAGACAATGAGGAGGGGAAGGGCAGGAAAGGTGGGGGCAGGGTGGGAAGGAGACAGTGTGGGGGGGAGGGAACAGGCTGATGCTGAGAGAGTGGGGAAGGGAAGGGCAGAGGGGAGAGGCAGGCACAAGTACAATGGGAGGCAAGAGGAGTTGGCTCCATGAGGAAAGAGGAGGGTGAAGGGGGCGAGGGAAGGGGCAGGCACTGGGGAGAAGAAAGGGACAGACCGCACAGGCACAGGGAAGCCAGGGGAGGGTCAGACACTGAGGGGCTAAGGGGTGAGAGGCAATGGGGGGAGCTCCAGTGGGGCAAAGGGAACCAAGGGGAGGGATGGGGTAGGTTGCAAGGGGCAGAGTGGGCGATAGATAGGGGAGGGGGACAGGCTGATGCTGGGGAGGAAAGGGGAGGGGCAGGTGACAGGAACAGAAAGGGGCCATGGGGCCCAAGAGGAGCAGCACCATAAGGGCTGTGATGGGTGAAGGGATGGTGGGTTCCTAGACCCACTCCCCTGGAGGGTGTAACTGCCCCTGAATTTCCTCAGAAACCCCCCGCCCCCCCATTACAGGCAGCGTTGCCTATTTAGAACACACACAGCCCGTGGGAAAACACCTGTGGCTGAGAGCGCAGGGCGGGTGTGACAGCAGGGCCCAGATGATCTCTCCCGGCTGCTGTCTGTGCCGGTGTCACTGGGGCTGGTCTGGCTGCCCTGGACAATCGGCTCGTTTCCTGCTGGTTTGGAAGCAGGGTCTGCATGAGATCCCCTCAGAATTGCTTTCTGAGCTGACACAGCCCCACCCCAGCCTTGGCAGTGTGAGCCCCAGTGCCCCCGCCTCGGAGAAGGGCCCCCAGTCCAGCCTGACCCACTTGGGGAAACCCCCAGTGTCCCAGGGCAATGGGCCCATGCTGCAGCCAGGGAGACTGAGGCTGGAGGGGAGGAAACCCTTCCTAGCTCAGGGCAGGGATGCTCCGGGCCCTATTCCAGGGCCTGCTGGGGGATCCCCTCCCTGATACAAACAGGATGGACAGATCCCTGCCGGGGATGGTCTGGGCCCTGCCTCGACGCAAGTGTAACCGCCACCGGGCGGATTTGAACCTGGGACCTCCGTCTGGGAGGCTCTGCCCAGTCACCACGACTCTCTGGGCCCGGATCTTGGCCCACAGACCTGGCTGCCCGTGTGGGGGTCACACAAGGAGCTGCATTAGGGGAGCTCTCCCAGGCCCCTCCGGCCTGGCTCAGAGCTGTTCTGAGACCTCTGTGTTGTGGTGGCACACGGGGAGCGAACAGAGACCCTGACAGCTGGCACCTCCGCGGCCCTGCCAGGGGTCAGGGCTGCTGATACCAGACTCTGCTGGGAGGAGGGAAGAATCAAACCTGGGACCCTCGGGAGCTTAGTGCAGGAGCCTCCACACCACGATCTGCAAGCCAGCCAGCCCTCCGCTCCTGGAGAACTGACTCCCCCTCCCCTCCCTGTCCCAGATCTCCTGCCCCCCACTGGCGTTTGTGTAACTGCCCGGGGTGGCTACAATCCCAGGGGCTGGACAGTACCTGCGCAGAGCTGGGCGCATCTCCACCCTGCAACCGAACAGAGAGAGGGGTGAGTCGCCCAGTGGGAGACAGAGTCACACAGGGGCTGTGCGGGGCAGGGGGAGGGAACTTACCGAGCTCCACCTGGAGTTTGCCTGGAAACAAACAGAGAAAGGAGTCCTGTTATCCTGCGGAAATGAGTCCCAAAGACCCTCCCGCAGGGACGTCCCATCCTTAGACTGAGCCTGGACGGGGCGGCGTGATCAGCCAGACCCAGCACCTCCTGGGCAACAAAGGACTCAGTACGGGATGAAAATCAGGACCCACCCAGCCACCGGGCCAGGGCTAAGGGGGTCCCTCCGCAACTGGACAGTGTTAACCCCGTGAAGCCAGGAGAAAGGAGAACAAAGTAACAGAAGAACAGCCAGGCTGGGTCAGACCCAAAGTCCATCCAGTCCAGAGTCCTGGCTGCCCACAGTGGCCAATGGCAGGTGTCCCAGAGGGAGTGAGCCGAACAGGTAACAATCAAGCGACCTCTCTCCTGCCGTCCATCTCCACCCTCTGACAGACAGAGGCTGGGGACACCATTCCATACCCAGCCTGGCTAATAGCCATTAATGATCCTAACCTCCATGAATGTATCTAGTTCTCTTTTAAACCCTGTTCTAGTCCTGGCCTTCACAACCTCCTCCAGCAAGGAGTTCCACAGGTTGACTGTGCGCTGTGTGAAGAAAAACTTCCTTTTGTTTGTTTTAAACCTGCTGACAATTAGTTTCATTGGGTGACCCCTAGTTCTTATATTACGGGAACAAGTCAATTACTTTTCCTTATTCACTTTTCCCACACCACTCACGATTTTATAGACCTCGATCATATCCCCCCTCAGTCTCCTCTTTTCCAAACTGAAAAGTCCCAGTCGCTTTAACCTCTCCTCATAGGGGACCTGTTCCAAACCCCTCATCGCTTTAGTTGCCCTTCTCTGAACCTTTTCTAAGGCCAAAATATCTTTTGTGAGATGAGACCACATCTGGACTGAGGATTCAAGATGTGGGCGTCCCATGGTTTTACATAAGGACAATAATATATTCTCCGTCTTATTCTCTCTCCCTTTTCTTATGATTCCTAACGTCCTGTTTGCTTTTTTGCCTGCCGCTGCGCCCTGCGTGGACGTCTTCAGAGAACTAGCCACGACGAATGCAAGAACTTATTCCTGATTAGTTGTTGCTAAATTAGTCCCTGTGATGGGCCCGCCAAGGCCCACACTGAGCCCAGTGAGATGTTTCTGCTCAGCCAGGACGGGGGTGGGGCAAGTTGATGGCCACTGCTGGGTCCGCGCATCAGCTGGCCACTGCCGGGACTTGCAACGACTCGGACTCCGGAAAGGGCCATGAACTAGGGGACCCTTGGCACTTCCCCGTGATACTCGCTGGGCCCCACCTGCCAACCGAGGCAGGAGGCACGTGCCCTGCACCAGCCGCAGCGGGACACACCGACAGCCGGATCGCTGAACACCACTTTTCAGGCGGGAAGGGGCAGTTTGCACCCAAACATTCATCACAGCCCCATCATGCTGTATGTCTAGTTGGGGTTATTTTTTTCTACATGCCATTTTCAATCCATGAGGGGAGGGGTGATTCTTATCCACCCTGTAACCAAACGCAGAGAGAGGGGCGGGTCACCCCGAGTGGGAGACAGAGTCACATGAGAGCTGCACGTGGCAAAGGGCAGGGGGAGAGAACTTACCGAGCTCGGCCTGGAGTTTGCCTGGAAACCAAACAGAGAAAGGAGTCCTGTTATCCTGTCAAAAGGAAGCGAGTCCCAAAGACCCTCATGCAGGGACGTCCCAGTCCTTAGATTGAGCCTGGATGGGGCTGGTTTATCAGCAAGACCCAGCACCTCCCGGGCAGTGCAGGACTGAGCACGGGATGAAAATCAGGACCCATCCAGCCACCGGGCCAGGGCTAAGGGGGTCCCTCCGCAACTGGACAGTGTTAACCCCGTGAAGCCAGGAGAAAGGAGCAGAAAGTAACATAAGAACATCCAGACGGGGTCAGACCCAAATTCCATCCAGCCCAGTGTCCTCACTGCCCACAGTTGCCCTTCTCTCAACCTTTTCTAAGGCCAAAATATCCATCTCCACTCTCTGCCCGATGCTGGGGACACCATTCCTTACCCAGCCTGGCTAATAGCCATTGATGGACCTAACCTCTGTGAATGTATCTAGTTCTCTTTTCAACCCTGTTACAGTCCTAGCCTTCCCAACCTCCTCCGGCGAGGAGTTCCACAGGTTGACTATGTGCTGTGTGGTGAAGAACTTGCTTTTATTTCTTTTACAGCTGCTGCACATTGGTTTAATTTCGTGGTCCCTAGTTCTTATATTATGAGAACAAGTAAATATCTTTTCTTTATTCATTTTATCCACACCACTCATAATTTTACAGACCTCTATCATATCCCCCCTCAGTCTCCTCTTTTCCAATTCCACAGGTTGACTATGTGCTGTGTGGTGAAGAACTTGCTTTTATTTCTTTTACAGCTGCTGCACATTGGTTTAATTTCGTGGTCCCTAGTTCTTATATTATGAGAACAAGTAAATATCTTTTCTTTATTCATTTTATCCACACCACTCATAATTTTACAGACCTCTATCATATCCCCCCTCAGTCTCCTCTTTTCCAAACTGAAAAGTCCCAGTCGCTTTAACCTCTCCTCATAGGGGACCTGTTCCAAACCCCTCATCGCTTTAGTTGCCCTTCTCTGAACCTTTTCTAAGGCCAAAATATCTTTTGTGAGATGAGACCACATCTGGACTGAGGATTCAAGATGTGGGCGTCCCATGGTTTTACATAAGGACAATAATATATTCTCCGTCTTATTCTCTCTCCCTTTTCTTATGATTCCTAACGTCCTGTTTGCTTTTTTGCCTGCCGCTGCGCCCTGCGTGGACGTCTTCAGAGAACTAGCCACGACGAATGCAAGAACTTATTCCTGATTAGTTGTTGCTAAATTAGTCCCTGTGATGGGCCCGCCAAGGCCCACACTGAGCCCAGTGAGATGTTTCTGCTCAGCCAGGACGGGGGTGGGGCAAGTTGATGGCCACTGCTGGGTCCGCGCATCAGCTGGCCACTGCCGGGACTTGCAACGACTCGGACTCCGGAAAGGGCCATGAACTAGGGGACCCTTGGCACTTCCCCGTGATACTCGCTGGGCCCCACCTGCCAACCGAGGCAGGAGGCACGTGCCCTGCACCAGCCGCAGCGGGACACACCGACAGCCGGATCGCTGAACACCACTTTTCAGGCGGGAAGGGGCAGTTTGCACCCAAACATTCATCACAGCCCCATCATGCTGTATGTCTAGTTGGGGTTATTTTTTTCTACATGCCATTTTCAATCCATGAGGGGAGGGGTGATTCTTATCCACCCTGTAACCAAACGCAGAGAGAGGGGCGGGTCACCCCGAGTGGGAGACAGAGTCACATGAGAGCTGCACGTGGCAAAGGGCAGGGGGAGAGAACTTACCGAGCTCGGCCTGGAGTTTGCCTGGAAACCAAACAGAGAAAGGAGTCCTGTTATCCTGTCAAAAGGAAGCGAGTCCCAAAGACCCTCATGCAGGGACGTCCCAGTCCTTAGATTGAGCCTGGATGGGGCTGGTTTATCAGCAAGACCCAGCACCTCCCGGGCAGTGCAGGACTGAGCACGGGATGAAAATCAGGACCCATCCAGCCACCGGGCCAGGGCTAAGGGGGTCCCTCCGCAACTGGACAGTGTTAACCCCGTGAAGCCAGGAGAAAGGAGCACAAAGTAACAGAACAACATCCAGACGGGGTCAGACCCAAAGTCCATCCAGCCCAGAGTCCTGTCTGCCCACAGTGACCAATGGCAGGTGTCCCAGAGGGAGGGAACAGAACAGGGAATGATCAAGTGACCTCTCTCCTGCCATCCATCTCCACTCTCTGCCCGATGCTGGGGACACCATTCCTTACCCAGCCTGGCTAATAGCCATTGATGGACCTAACCTCTGTGAATGTATCTAGTTCTCTTTTCAACCCTGTTACAGTCCTAGCCTTCCCAACCTCCTCCGGCGAGGAGTTCCACAGGTTGACTATGTGCTGTGTGGTGAAGAACTTGCTTTTATTTCTTTTACAGCTGCTGCACATTGGTTTAATTTCGTGGTCCCTAGTTCTTATATTATGAGAACAAGTAAATATCTCTTCTTTATTCATTTTATCCACACCACTCATAATTTTACAGACCTCTATCATATCCCCCCTCAGTCTCCTCTTTTCTAAGCTGAGAAGTCCCCGTCTCTTTAGCCTCTCCTCATATGGGACCTGTTCCAAACCCATCGTTTTAATCGCCTTTCTCTGAACCTTTTCTAATGCCAGTATATCTTTTTTGAGATGAGGAGACCACATCTGTACGCAGTATTCAAGCTGTGGTCTTCCCGTGGAATTATATAAGAGCAATAAGATATTCTCCATGTTATTCTCTCTCCTGTTTTCAATGATTCCTAACATCCTGTTTGCTTTTTTGCCTGCCGCTGCGCACTGCGTGGACATCTTCAGAGAACTATCCACAGTGACTCCAAGATCTCTTTCCTGATTAGCTGTAGCTAAATTAGCCCCCATCATATTGTATGTCTCTAGTTGGGGTTATGACAGAGTCACACAGGGGCTGTGCGGGGCAGGGGGAGGGAACTTACCGAGCTCCACCTGGAGTTTGCCTGGAAACAAACAGAGAAAGGAGTCCTGTTATCCTGCGGAAATGAGTCCCAAAGACCCTCCCGCAGGGACGTCCCATCCTTAGACTGAGCCTGGACGGGGCGGCGTGATCAGCCAGACCCAGCACCTCCTGGGCAACAAAGGACTCAGTACGGGATGAAAATCAGGACCCACCCAGCCACCGGGCCAGGGCTAAGGGGGTCCCTCCGCAACTGGACAGTGTTAACCCCGTGAAGCCAGGAGAAAGGAGAACAAAGTAACAGAAGAACATCCAGACGGGGTCAGACCCAAAGTCCATCCAGCCCAGAGTCCTGTCTCCCACAGTGGGCAGCGCCAGATACCCCGGAGGGAGTAAACCAAATGGGCAATGATCAAGCGACCTCTCTCCTGCCGTCCATCTCCACCCTCTGACCAAAGCTAGGGACACCACTTCTTACCCAGCCTGGCTAATAGCCATTGATGGACCTAACCTCTGTGAATGTATCTAGTTCTCTTTTAAACCCTGTTACAGACCTAGCCTTCCCAACCTCCTCCGGCGAGGAGTTCCACAGATTGACTACGCGCTGTGTGAAGAATAATTTCCTTCTCTTTGTTTTAAACTTGCTGCCCGTTTATTTCATTGGGTGGCCCCTAGTTCTCATATTATGAGAACAAGTCAAGAACTTTTCCTTATTCACTTTCTCCACACCACTCATGATTGCATAGACTTCTAGCATATCCCCCCCCCCTTAGTCTCCTCTTTCCTAAGATGAAAAGTCCCCGTCTCTTTATTCTCTCTTCACCCGTTCCAAATTCCTCAGCATGTTTGTGGCGCGTCTCTGAACCCTTTCTCATGCCACAATACATTTGGGGTTATTTTTTCCTATGTGCCATTTACAGTCCATGAGGGGTGGGGTGATTCTTCTCCACTTTGCAACGAAATGCAGAGGGAGGGGAGGGTCACCCCGAGTAGGAGACAGAGTCACACAGGGGCTGTATGCGGTGCGGGGAAGAAGAGAGGGAACTTACCCATCTCATCCTCGAGTTTGTCTGGAAACCAAACAGAGAAAGGAGTCTTGTTATCCTGCAGAAAGGAAGCGAGTCCCAAACACCCTCCTGCAGGGACGTCCCAGTCCTGAGATTGAGCCTGGACGGGTAATGATCAAACGACCTCTCTCCTGCCATCCATCTCCTCCCTCTAACCAAAGCTGGCAACACCATTCCTTACCCATCCTGGCCAATAGCCATTGATGGACCTAACCTCTGTGAATGTATCTAGTTCTCTTTTAAACCCTGTTACAGACCTAGCCTTCCCAACCTCCTCCGGCGAGGAGTTCCACAGATTGACTACGCGCTGTGTGAAGAATAATTTCCTTCTCTTTGTTTTAAACTTGCTGCCCGTTTATTTCATTGGGTGGCCCCTAGTTCTCATATTATGAGAACAAGTCAAGAACTTTTCCTTATTCACTTTCTCCACACCACTCATGATTGCATAGACTTCTAGCATATCCCCCCCCCCTTAGTCTCCTCTTTCCTAAGATGAAAAGTCCCCGTCTCTTTATTCTCTCTTCACCCGTTCCAAATTCCTCAGCATGTTTGTGGCGCGTCTCTGAACCTTTTCTCATGCCAAAATACATTTGGGGATATTTTTTCCTATGTGCCATTTACAATCCATGAGGAGTGGGGTGATTCTTTTCCACCCTGCAACCAAACGCAGAGAGAGGGGTGGGTCGCCCCGAGTGGGAGACAGAGTCACACAGGGGCTGTACGGGGCAGGGGGGAGAAGGGAGGGAACTTACCGAGCTCATTGTGCAGTTCGTCTGGAAATCAAACAGAGAAAGGAGTCCCGTTATCCTGCAGAAAGGAAGCAAGTCCCGAAAACCCTCCCGCAGGGACGTCCCTTTCTTAGATTGAGCCTGGACGGGGCGGCATGATCAGCCAGACCCAGCACCTCCCGGTCAGCGCAGGACTGGGCACGGGATGAAAATCAGGACCCATCCAGCCACCGGGCCAGGGCTAAGGGGAACCCACGGCAACTGGCCAGTGTTAACCCCGTGAAGCCAGGAGCAAGGCCGTGGGGTGAGGTGTGGGATGGGAATTCGCAGGCTAAAATGGAAGCTGAAGGGGGAATCGCCAGGGTTAAAAATCAGCCCCAGGAAATGGAAACCAGGAGATTCAGCT